ATTTCCCTTTTCAAATAGAAAAGAAATTGAGGACACAACGTCCTCAATTTCTTTTTCTGCAGCCTCAGCACTCAATGAATGTGAAGTACAGAGGCTTCCCATTCATTAAGAAACTGATGATAGTAAAATATTTTACTATCACCAGTTTCTGAATGGGGAGGAGCCTCTGTACTGAGTGCTTCTCCCCATTGAGAAATTCATGAATGAACAGGAAGTGATGTAAATCACATCCTGTTCATTCATAACTGAGGACACATAGTACTATGTGTCCAAAGTTATTTACAAACATTGGAGTGATCAGACGATCACTCCAGTGTTTGTCCTTCACACACAGAGGATCGGTAAATGTCACAGATATTTACCGATCCTCTGCTCGGCCACGCACACAGCCGATGTCATCCTGAAGGTGACAGCGGCTGCTCTCTCTTCCCCGCTCGGCCGTCCTGAAAGTTGCGGCATCTCTCCTCCTCACCGTTGGCCATCCGACATGACAGCGCTCCCACCTGCACGACCTGCAGGCGCTGAAGCTGGAGGGGGCTGAGGAGGGAGCGCTGTCATGTCGGATGGCCAGCGGTGAGGAGGGGAGAAGCCGCCCCGAGGACATGCTGTGTCGGCCGCCTGGCGCTCTGTGTGGCAGCACAGCTCGAACACCCCAAAGGCCGGCCCTCGCTACAATGGCCTGAAGGATGTTAGATGATTCTGATTTTGGTGGAAAAGGCATAGAAGTGCGTTTACAGCCTCTGCGTTCCTCTACATTCAGAGCCAGCAATCATAGTGGCAACCTTGTTTATAAAGAACAACATTGCAGCTAAAAACTCCTCCCTTGATAAGGCAGAGGAGGGTGCCACAACTGATATAGCAAGGGTGCAGTGTGAGGACTGAAGCAGGGGACAGCAGTCTAGGCTCTTGGTGCCAGGACCTGAGGAGAGACACTGCAGACAGCTTCAGAGTTGCTAGTGGATCATGAGCTAAAAAGGTCTAAAGCAGCAGGACTGCTCCCCTTGTGCTTGGGACCCAACATATTGTACCACTAAGTAGTATTAGCTGAAGAGCACACCAGGTTAACAGCCTTAATTACCCACAAAATCAAGGCTAATAGCAGAAGGTTAATGTCTGTAGGTGACCAGGTCAATGTAGGTGGCAGTGAGAACAATTTGAAGTGAAAACCATGTGTCTCTAACAGTAGGAGTAAAGGCTGAACTCAGTGGCGGAACTACGGGTGGTGCCGCTGCACCGGGGCCTGAGCCTACGGGGGGCCCAGTATCTATTCAAACACAGCCCTGGGGCAGAGATGGGGGGGGGCCCGTTGGTGTCCGGCCGCCGGTTACCATCGGATCGGTATGTGGCGGTGTGACGGACCCCCGTACTCAGGATGAGTATGTCCGCCGCTGTCTTCTTCCTTGCTGAGGAGATATTGCAACCTGAAGATCCTTAGCTCCCAGTTTCCCCAGTCACTAGTCGAGGCATGAGTGTAGGTGAAACAAACTCTGGTTTATTGAGAAACTGCACAAACTTTTATACAGCTAGTGATGAGATCAGAATATAATCCCATCACATCCACCCTCCCCTCCCAGACAATCAGTCTGCTCAACACCACAGGGCTTCCCCTGCTAACGAGCTCCAGACAGCCATAGCAGATAGCCTGGCCAGAATGTAATTGTTCTGAGCTCCCTCAGAGAACAATGGGAGATAACGAGGGATGGTGCTGATAGTCTTTCCATAACCAGGTTACTCAGTGTAACGCACTCAAACATAACTCAACACCAATACACATTTAACTGACTGATCACCATGTCTTCACAGGCGGGCCCCCCCATCTCTGCGCCAGGAGTGATCACATTGGCTGACGGGCCCCCTGTGTGTGACGTGCCCGTGTACTCAGGCGGCGGTCTGCTGGGTCCTCACGGCCGAGGCCCAGGGCTGCCCGCTGCAGTGCCTGACTGAGACCGTGGCGCTGTAATCACAGCGCCACCTGTCTCAGCAGTCACTTACTGCAGCTTCTGTGACAGAAACTGTGACAGAAACTGCCTGCGTTCTATGTACCGGTGCGCCTTATGGAGCGCAAAATATGGTATATTACACGTGCACTGTGCTATTAAATCAACACTAATACAACCAAAAAACAGTGTCTATCTCATTTATAATCACACATTAACTTAT